AAGTGGCACGGAGCGCTCAAAGTATTGTTTGTGCTGTGTATGTACAGGTGTGTAAATGTGTATGTGGATACATATATACATAAACACTCAACCGCTCTCCTTTTATGCACTAGCAAGCAGGAAGTTGTCAAATTAATAAAGAGATGCAACTTCGAGTACTCGACCCAGAGTACAAAGGCCACCCTGGCCAGCCCACCCCAGGGCTCTTCTGTTGAGGGGCCCCGAACATCACTCTCTTCACGCCAAACCGGAAGAAAGTGATGCCCGCCCCCATAAAAGAAATCAGCCCCAATAACCCCCTTTTGTCTCTTCCTTCCACGTTACCCTGGCCTCCTCAGCGGCCCAACATCCCTGTTGGAGCAGCTTGTCAAAGTTCCCATGTTTGGAGAACCAAAATGTGGCCCCACCTCTGTGCAACGAGTAGGGTCGCAGCCCTAACTCGTGCAGGCCCAATTCGCAAGACACTCCTGAAAGCGCTGCCTCCACACATGCGCCTTAGTGACCAGAGGGCTATGGGGCTCATAAAGGGCTTTCCATCAGAACGGGGATGACTCCGATTGAAACACTCTCGGCAGCGCCCTGCCTCTTGCCTCTTTTGGTCAATCCCAAGTTGACCACGGCAGGTGATGAAGGCCCACTCATGGCCATGTGCGAGTTTCGCAGGCGGAGTACCTCTCCAGTTCTCAAAAGGCCATAAAAACCAAGCATCAACGAGAGTGCAAACGAGTACGACTCATTGAACAGAGCATAGCCAACCATGGCTTGCAGCATCTTCTCTGTCAGTGGCGGAGCTTGGTTTGGAAAGCTGGTTGTCAGTTAAAAATTGCAAACAACGACGTCTGGCTTTGTCATAACGCAGCCGTGTCGAAGGTTGCACGGTCAAGCCCTTGAATTTACCCAAACTGCCGAACCTTGATTTTGTCTGCTTGCGACCTGCTTCGTGCCCCTACAGGAGGGGCGGTCCGCTGGGTTTTGGGAGGTGGGACATAGCCCCAAAGAGCTTGATGTCCACTTGCAAGCAAGACAGCGTTCATTCGGCATACGGTTCGTCTGAGCTTTCGACTTGACGAACGCCCTTGGCTCAGGGCATGAAGGACAACCAGTGAATCTGTGAGGTGCAAAAAGCGCGCACGAAAAGGGGCTTTCCAACCCTCCGTTGCAATGTAGTGAGCGCAGCGCGGAGCTCTAAGGCAACCTGCAACCCCCTTCCAGTGCCATAACCGGGCGGGAACGCTTGCACGCAGCCGGTGATACCGCACCAGGTCCTTCGTTGAACCTTGGATCATGATGTCATCACCTTCAACTGGGCAGGACATGTCGCAAAATCTCTCCCTTTCCAGGATTGAGCCTCTCTACAACGCCCTGCGCGCTGAGGTCGGATATCAAACCCAAAGGCTTAAAGAGGTCGTAGAGCAAGCACATGACAGAATGACCTCTCTCTCCGTCACAATTGCCATCCTCAGCTCCTCACAACACTGATGCGGGGGAAACCTATGCCGATCCTCCGTCCAACCGAAATCGTGGCGATTTAGACCAGCTGGTTTTCGTCCTGGGCCTTGCAGCAGTGAAGGTTGGCAGTGGCTTGTCGTTCACACGCCTGCTTCCAAGAACTCCTTCTCAGTGACTGAAGGTGTCCACTGGATCTCCCCCCAGTCACTGGGACTCCCTCTCTGGCACCACCCAAGACGGCCGACACACTCCTGCATCAGCCTTCCACAGTCTAATCCCCGCACTCGCAATCATCACCTGGCAGTCCGCACCATCCATGGACGCCTCAACCAAGTGATGTACTTGTGCCCAGGAAAATACTGCTTTACCAAGTCCTTGATGCGGGGTACATGTACGAACAGCGGCTCCTCTCATCTCGCTGAGCACCTTGACGATCTGCATGACCCAAGACCCCTTGACAAGGCCCAGCTCCCAGAACCCACTAGCCCCGCTGTGCTGCAGAGCCCATCCCATGACCATCTCCTCATTGACCTCCTCCGCATCGGTCACGTGTATGATGTCAGGAAAGTTGCTCTCAAGTACCCTGCGCGCACTCTTCTCCTTTTTAACGCTGATGTACCCGCAGATGTAGCCGCACAACACCTAGTTGTTCACAAGCCACCCGAAGTAAGCCTATTGCCAACACTGACAAGATCATGTTCTTCAGGGACTTCTCCACGAATCCGAGCCCTCTCTGCAGCCAGCCCATAACCAGCGTGGCAACCATGGGCGACCCCTCTCCCTGGACCAGTCGGGCCGTCTTTTCGTCACAGCGTATCAGCTCATCGAAATTGTCCATGCGAAACAACTGCTTGGAGTTAGTAGGATCCTTGTCCTTCCTCAGTTCCTGTTCTCCCATTACGGGAGGGAAGTTTCGCACCGCTGCGTGTCGCACAACGTTCCGATGTATATGTTGTGCAATAGCCACTGAATTTAACAATGCGGCCGGATGCCTGAGTCGCCTCGCCCGGCCCGGGTGAAGCCACCGTGCCATAGTAGTGGTTCAACCCTCTGCACAATGCCCTAGTGACTTCGAACAGGGGCAGTGAAAAAATCCCATTCCTGCACCTGGAGGTCTGCACTTGCTGGTGCGCTTGTTCAGGCCTTATAGGAGAGGAACCCAAAATGGGCCCACCCCCTCCCACAATCATCTCACACAATTCTTTTTGGTTCATGTTCTCCTTGGTGTCCTTCACGCCTCACTCTCTTTGCATCCTGATCACCTCTTGAGCTCTCCTGACCTTCATCCCTCCTGTCACCAGACACGCCATTGCTTTCCACCACGGCTCTCACTTTTCGCACTTGCGCGCACTATCCTCAAAGAGGGGGACCAAGGGCCCATCACCTCTCATTTCTTCGGCTCTTCCTTTTGCCATTCTTTGTTCTGTTTTCCTTCTCTCTTACCACCTTTCCACTCAAACCGTTGGCTCCCATAATGGGAGCCCTTGCTGCTGTAGCTGGGCTGACGTGACCTGTCGTCCTCCTTTCCGAGCGACCTCCATAGCCGCACAAGACCTGCCAAAGAAGGCCCATCCGCACCAAGCAGCCAATCTGCCGGCTGACGGTCCAATGGCTACCCTTCGCCTGAAGCTCAAGCGCCTTCCAAGCAGGTCCATCATCCCGGCAATCCTACACGTGAGGCCCGTATCCAGCGCGGCTGAAAGCGTATGGGCCTCACGGCTCATTGCAGGGCTCATACCAGGTCGTAGGCATGACCTGTCGCCGAAATCAGCGTCTCCTTCATAAAGCGTCTGATTCGTCAAAGCTTGAGGGAAGCGCTCTCTCCCTTTCCAACGCCTGCTTCTCTCGGCGCAGGTCCTCCATCTCATCTCCTCTTTCTACCACTAGCTGCAGCTTCCAGCCGACCAACCATCCACCCTCTTGGCCCTCTTGCCATGCACCAGGAGCTCATCCAAGAGCTCCCCGAATCTCCGCAAACGTGAACGCGTATCTTCTTCTCCTTCTTGCCGCTGAGCACCTTCAGCAGCGCCTCCCTCTTGGTCCCATGAACCAGCCCGGCCAGGTAGACCACGTCCATCAAATTCACAACCAACAACCGTCAGAGCCAGGACGATCTCGTCCTCCAGTACAAGGTTTTCGTGATCACCACCTCATGGAGGTTCCTAAGATCCTCCATGGACATGTCCTTGAATTCCATCTCCTCACGCACCTCAACAACATCTCTCCGGTCGGCGCCCGGGGTCGGCCCCCACGCCTATTGCTCCTGCTTGCCTTCTCGTCTCTCCACCCCACCCGCGGGCCACGGCTTTCGCCCGAGCCCTCCCTTTCGCTTTTGCTTTGGGAGGCATTGCGCCTTTCAGAGGGGCAAGTGGTTCTCCCTATAGTGAGCCTGCTTGTTCCGCTTCGTGATGCCCTTGTTCTTGCCAAAGCACTTGGGCTGAGCTCCTGCCCAAGGCTGCGAACGCCAGGGCGTTGTAGGCGGCGGCCTAGGTGGTGTCCTAGGCACCCTCACAGCTGGGGCTCACGAACGTCACGGACCGTGTCCTCCGGTGGCAAGACAGGTGCTTCCTCAGGCGAAACCTCCCTGTGCTTCCTCCGACGGGAACGGCTCCTGCGACTGCCCTTAGTCCTCCGCCTGCTCCTCGATCTCCGTCTCCTGCGGCTCCTTGCGCGACCGACGTCCTTCTCCTTGAAGTCCTCCGCCTTCTCAACAGGAGCCTCCGGGCTCCCAGCCTCGCTCTCCGTGACCTGGGAGACCTCAACGGCGGGGGGCACCGCGGCTGGGCCACGTCCACGTCCTGGATCTCCCCCGAGAGCTGCCTGAGCCGCTGCACCAAAGCGGACTCCCAGCTCACCGGGAAGTTCTTGTCCTTCAGGAGCACCCCGATGCGAACGTAGGCCCGGCAAACAGCACACCAGCCCACTTGCCTCCACACTCCAAGCAAGTGGGAGGGTCTCCCATACAAGGAGACACTCCCCCAAGAAAGAGCCAAAACTACGGCAGAAAAGGATTACCGCGGTTTCTTGTTTAGATACGGGGCCGTAGAACCATATTGTATATTTATATATAGATACATATATGTATGCTTATATGTTTTATGTGTTCAGCTCATCTACATGTGCTTTACAAACGCAGCCTCTCAAACCCCTCAAACCTCTCAACCACCAATCTCACCTGGCCCAAACCCTAAACTGCACCCCCCCCCCCCCGCTGCCTCCACCTGATCAAGGTGGACGCGCCCCTGGACAAATCCAATCGTGCCACGCGGCTCCGGAACCCCAAAATTGGCTTCCGTTGTTCTTCGCGAAACGTTCACTCACAGCAACAAACATGGCGCACCAAAAAAGACGAGCCGAAATGAGAGCTCTGGCCTGCAGACAAGAATATGGATCTATCATAAGTTCGCGGATTTACTCCCAGACCCCCAGACCCACGTGTCAAGGACCGTACAGAGAACGCGCCAAGTGCCCAAATGAGCTGCTTGGTTGGAAGACAGGCCAAAGGAGGCTACTTGTTTTTACCACATGCCAGTTTCAGCTGGGGCCCGAGCCGTGTCCAACTCGCTGCCGATGTAAAATATGTCTGTTTCTACCTGGCCGAGCCAGGGGTGGGCTGTCTGGACAGATATACCGCGGACCTTGTCAAAAAGAAACGGGTTCTTGGAAGCCTTCCCGAAACCTTCTGATGCTGAGTGAAACGTTCCGAAGCACCCGCGCAAGCAAAACTCAAGCAGAACAATTGACTCCTGCAGAACCGTAATCCTTTGTGCATCAATTCAAGCGGTCAGACCCCCTTCAGGGCCTCGGAAAAACCTTCCCCAAAATTGATCCGTCCGACCCCCCCAGCTGCCTCCAGTCCGCCTGAAAGCCCACAACAACCGAACTCCAACAAATAATTTGTGAGCAGGTCCATGACTTTCTGCACAAACGTATAGTTCCATCTATGGCGGAGTCACTTGCGCATGATGGGCTGCGCAAGCGCAAGCAGTTGATCATACTATATCATACTTGTGAGCTGTTGCGAAAGGACGGCTAGCTGGCAAAATTAGGGGACCCCCTAAAGAGGTGGCTTGCATTTGGTTTCACCCAACAGGTCCTCAAAACTCTTTACAGATTGGAGGTCTGGACCCCTTCACCAGCCTGCTCTGCATCGTCGGGCCATGTCCAGCTTGCCGGGTTCACCTGTCGGCCCCAGGAAATGGAAAGTGCTAACACCGGCTCATCGATTGTTTTTTGGCCCACCCCTTTTGGGCTTGTTTACAGATTTGCGCATTTGCGGGCGACATAGCTCCCAATGACTAGAAGGACCAAATATGCCAACAACACACGGCGTGGACACAAGAAATGTTCCTCTGCTACCCCCTACTCCCCTCCCCGAGGCACAAACCCGACTTTGTGAAGGGGGGGGTTGTCCGTTTTCCGTGCAATTGACCTTTCGCAAAGCCCTTCTTTCAGTACAATCTCAAGAAAGGTCGGCCATTTCGCTGCCCGCGCCCACACAATCCGCGTGGCCACAACCATCAGATGCTCTTCCTTACCTGCTGTTCTGAGGACCAGTCAGAAGCACAGAGGAATCACTTGAGCCTTTCCAAAGGAATCCAACAAGAAGCGTCAGCCAGCAAGGGGTTTCTCGCATCGGTAGCGCCCGCATCCATTGCTTTCAAAGGGCGGAAGGTGGTTGCAAAAGGCTGCAAAACCCAGCAAAGGGTTTTGCTTTTCGATCAAGCTTGTTTCCACAGCGCAGCAAAGTCCGCAGACGTTGCACAAAGCTGCAAACTCCGCAAAGGTTCATTGGTTTCGAAGAAATGCGCTCCAAAACGCAGCAAAGTCAGCAAAGGGTTCACTTTTTCAAAGAGGCTTGGAATCAGCCGGTTCACTTTTTGATCAACGCTGTTTGCAAAAATATCCACAAGCGCTGCGAAGAAGCTTGTTTCCAAAACCAGAGTGAAGCAAAGTCCGCCGAGGGCGCACTTTGTGCGAAGAAGGCTTCGGGTCAGGTTCAGGTGGGTTTGTTGTCTGTTTACCGGGTAGCTCTAGCCTGGTTTCAGAATGCTGTATCGCTGGTCTAGTGTGGGTTTTGGGTTGGTTCAGAGCCGGTTTTGGGTGGGTTTAAGCTTGGTATAGGGATTGTTTTCGTGCTGGTTTACGGTGTTTGCTGTTTGGGCTAGTTTAGGCTTGGTTTAGGGCTGCTCTAGGCGTTGATTTACAGTTGGCTTAGGGGTGGTTTAATGGAGGTTTCGGGTGGGTTTAGGGTTGGTTTGGGGCTTGTTTAGGGTGGGTTTGGGGTTGCTATAGGACTGGGTAGAGTTTGTTCAGGGTTGTTATAAATGTGGGTGTAGGGTGGATTTGGTCTTGGTTCAGGCTGGGTCAAGTGGAGTTTAGGGTTGGTTTAGGGTAGGGTGGGTTTGTGGGTTTTAGTTTACGGACACTTCAGTGCTTGCATGTAGGGTTGGCTCCGGGTGGGTTGGTTTAGCCCGGGTTTCGGTTTGGTTCAGGGTTTTGTGGGGTGGGTTTAGGTTTGGTTCAGGGATTGTTTAGGGTTAGGGTTGATTTATCTGTTTGCCCACGGACGGGACTTATGAAGATCATGGTTTCCCTTTGCATCTGGGAAGGCCTCTCCCTCAGTCAAGCCCCTTATTGATTCCCCGGTTGGCGGATTTGGTTTCGCCATATTATGCGTGACCACGAGTGGGTTCTAAACCAATCAGTTCTACGATGCTGCACACATGATTGCCACCAAAACCGTGTAGGGAACCCTGAAGAATTAAGCGTGCCCTCAAACAGCCGACACCCTGCCCCGCAAGGCAGTCTTCGCAAAGCTCTCAGTCCGACTGCGCAAACTTAGGTCCTCCTTAGATCAGACGGTCAACTTAGGAAGTAATAGAAAGCCTGGCAAGTCGGACAATTAGAGGTGGACATCAAACTAGAAGGGGAAACCAAAGAAAACCAAACTGATTGATCTGGGCCGAAGCACCCCTACCGATCCTTAGCAACCCCTGAATTCTGACCAATACATATGATTGCCAAGGCAATTGCGCCCTCAGAACCCTAGGTGTCAATTTGGACAAATGGATGGCGCTGGAAAGAAATTTGAACTGCAGCTACTGGACTGTCTAGTCTCAACCAAACCTTTGCTGAACTGCCAACCGGCTGGTACGTCCTCCGCCCTTTTCCCCCACCTCCACCTCCACCTCGTCGTCCGTGGAGTAAAAGACCTGCGATCTTTGTGCTGCGGTCAATGGCCTCTCAATTTGGGGCCCCAGAATGTCGATACGTGCTCGCAATCAGAACCAAAGCCAGAAACCCCACAACTTCGAGCATTCCGGCGGAAGAACAACTCGGTTGGAACGTTGAACCCAAGCAACCCAGCAACCCAGCTGGCGGGTGTTCACTGGGGCGCCTTGACAAAGCATAGGATTGGTTGGTGGATTCCTTCAGATTTAAAACTAGACCCACACCCATCGTGATGCAAAACAATGCTACAGAACTGCAATTGATAGCCAACCAGACAAAGAATCCCTTTTGGGGCCACCAGTTTAGTGGACGGAACCCACCAAAGCAACAAAGAAAAAGCTGGATTCAAAGTTGATCATTGCTAGCGCGCAACCCACAAAACAGCACTCAGGGGAAGAAAGGGAGTCACCGATGCAAAAACAGGGGAACCAGACCCAACCCGCGCGCTGTTTCCTTGGTCGGGACACCTCGTCTGTTTTGCGAGCGCCTCTGCTTTGAAAAACATCCGGGTTCCACCAGCTGTTGCGCTGGCAACTACGGTGAACCACAGCACCTTTGGAGTGTGCACTGAATGACTCCATGAACCAAAAGGCAAAACAAAGGTCAAAGATGTCTGAGTCTGAGTCCAAAATCGAGCGCAAATCCAAAGCAAAGGAAGCCAATGGTCAACCGCACGGAGGCAATGGACACCAAGGATAACAAGTGGAATGCTGTGGGCAAAATCGAAGACATCATCCAAACACAACTCAGGCAACACACCAACAGTTCATCTAACCAAATTCCTGAAGTGTGTAGGCGTGTCATCGAACTAACTCAATTCAGCTAAAATACTTCCCGATACACATATGCACACAATAATAAAACCACAATCTTCAGTCATGTCTGGGTTGAGCCAAACCCTGATGTAAGCATGATTAAACAAAAACTGTTTAAGCAACATCCTATTGGCTTCGTTCGAAATACAAACCCCGCAAACAAAAAGGACTTCAGGGTGCCACTAAACAGCTGGGCTTTCGGACAATTCTTTTCCCCCTCTGCACATTACTGGGTTGGCCACAGACCATTGGCGAAAAATATTAAGGAAATTGAGGCCCAACACCCGCCCAGCCCCCGCTCGCTGGCAAGGCGGCATTCCCTTTTCAGCGGCTGCAGACAGGGTAAGTCGGCAAGCGCTGACATCTGGCACGAAGCCAAAACCAATGCTGAGTCAACAGTCAACGTGTGCCTTAGCAAGTTCCTAGCTGCGCTCTTGCTTCATGTTTTCACGCTGAAGATCCGGCGGCAGGCAATGCCTGCAAGTGCTTGTTCTCAACTTCGCAAACACGGTGAAGGCTCCGTGTTTGCATGAAGAAATCCCAGAGCACATCCTTGGCTGAGGTGCTGGCAGGCCCTTTCAGCTGCACAACCTTGGCCTTTGCCTGCCCCTTGGCCTTTGCTTTGGCCTTTGGCCGTCCCCTGGCATCGGCAGTCTGCTCGGCAGACTGGACCGTGGTCCATTGACCCCTGGACCACCACGCTAGAGGCTTGAAAAAAAGTCACAAACCCCGTTTGCATCGAATTGGGCGACGATCGCCAGTCTATCTGAAAAGACGGGCAATTCTTCTGCGCGGAAGTCACGCGTGTTGTTGAACGCGGCGGCTCCTGCGCGTCAAAATCCTAAATGCATGCATAGAAGATCCAAAACAACTGCGTCGTCCCTGCGCAGCTGCCCGTCTGCGCGGGCACGGCGACGACGAGTGCGCCGTTGCGGCGCAGCTGCCCGCGTGCGCGGGCACGGCGACGACGCGCGCGCCGTTGCGGCGCAGCTGCCCGCGTGCGCGGGCACGGCGACGACGACTGTGCCGTCGCCGCGTAGCTGGCGCTGCCGCGGCGACGACATGGAAAGGTGGGACCCGCCGGAAGACACAACAAGGCCGTCCAGTAGAGTGTGCACGACTTGGGCGTTTACGCAATGAAGCAACACTGTATGTAGAACATTCCAGCGCCAGGAAAGCATATCAAAATCAAAAGCGAGACAAGACTGCGCGCACATCGCGTTCAGCTGGGCGTGGTGGACGTGCAGATTGCCGGCGCGCAAGCGGTGAGAGGCGTATTGAAGGCAAACACGGCTTTGCCAAACCAGCAGCAGCAGCATTGGCTCACTGCGCGTTGACCACGTGTGGAATGTCGACATGACATTTCTTCGTGTCTAGCTGCCCCACCAGTGTGACAGTGAATAGCAAGCCTGCGTTTCGCAGACTGCGCGCGAAAAAGCTGCGTCGGACGTCACATTCGCACGCACGTCAGCACGTTGGTTTCTGTTACATATCTGAGCAACGCATGAAACTCAATTGACGTCAACGCGCAGCGCACTAGCCAAACGAGCCACGTTGTCAAGAGCTGCGCAATCAGACCATAAGAACAGCGCGGTGCGCGTGCTCCACGACGCGCTCCAATGGCTGGGTGAGAATCTCTATACAATGAAGACGATATGGCGCTCGTATGCAATGACTGCGCCGACAAAGCTGCGACCATGCGCGTTACGAGCGCCATTGAGGCACAAGTGTTGCGGCCTGTGTGCGCCGTGACGTCGCCGAGGGCTGGCCTGCGATCCACACAGGCCACGGCTGCCTGGTGTATACACGCTGCGCCTCTTGCGGGTGCTGTTCTACAAGCACTATTTTATGAAACTCCATGGAGACGCAGTTTGTGTTGGGACAGCGCTGCTGTTCGGGCTATGATCGCTGCAGGCCACGACTAGGGCGCGACGCCTCGTTGTGTGGACGCCGTGCGTTATAGAGCGCTGCACTACGAGCGCTTTTCATACACATTTGCTGCGCGCGCGCGAAGGAACAACTTGTAGCGTGAAGCTCGCCCTGAATTGAGCTATGGGCGGGGGAAGTCAATAGCCCCTCAAAGACCGAAACTGTAGTATACTGGCAGAAGCATTGGACATCTGCGCAACAGTTGCAAGAACGACAGCATAGAACCTATAAAAGCGTATGCTCGTGAAGGCCGATGCGAAGGCAGGCTTTACAATTTACAGCTTACCAAAGCAGGCATGTGCAATCATGGGCCGACAACGTGTTGGTCAGGGCCCCAGTCAGGGCTTGGCTGACCAGTCGAGGCACAAAAACGCTTTGTCTTGCAGGCTGGGGGCCATGTACGACTCGACACTTGGGCCAACGAGCTACCACCCAGAAAAGGCGGCCTGATATGAGAAGTGCAAGCTCGCGGGCACGCAAACATGGGCCAACCGTCAACGAGTCGAGAGCCAAAGTGTAGAGGAAAACAGCTGCTAAACACAGCTCGGAGACACGAGGCGACTTCAATTTCGCTTTTGGAAAAGAGCAACAAACACTGCCTCTGATTGTCTCCGCCGACTATACTCTCTATGTGCGTCACGGGCGCCGTCCCGACGCAGCGCCTACGAGGCGACTTCAATTTGGCCTTTGGAAAAGAGCAACACCTCTGATTGTCTCAGCTGACTTTTTCTCTCTATGTGCGGCACGAGCGCCGCCCCGACGCAGCGCCTTTGAGTATGTTGCTCGTGATTTCGTCGAGCTACACGCCACACCCATTTTGCGCGCACGCGCTGTTTTCACACGCGGCTTTTGTGGCCTGCGTGCGCCGATCGCTACAGGTCACCACCGCTTCGTGCTTCGCATCACGAGCGCTATATTCTACGAACGCCATGGAGACGCAGCTGCTGCAGCGTCGTGGCGCCAATGTCTGGGCTAGATCGCTGCAGGTCAGGGCTGTCTGGCGGCGTTCATAGAATAGCGCTCGTCGTGAGCAGAGTCGTTTCTGTTGCGTGTGACACGTTGCGCGTGACGAGCGCGAGTCCACGAAACGCTATTCTCAGACGGGCTGCTGCGGCTTGTGTGCGCGGTGACAGCGCCGACTTTTGGTCTGCGATCGCTACAGGTCATCACTGCTTCGTGCTTCGCATCACGAGCGCTGCTCTACGAACGCCGCCGATGTCTGTGCTAGATCGCTGCAGGTCAGGGCTGTCTTAGGTACAGAAGCTCCGCACTACAAGCGCTATTCTATGAGTGCCCAGCAGGGTCATGTCTGTTGCGTGTGACACGCTGCACTCAAACGCGGCTGCTGCGGCTTGCGTGCGCCGTGACAGCGCCGACTCTTGGTCTACGGTCGCTACAGGTCACAACTGTTTCGTCACACCACTACGCTATATACTCTTCAAGCGCCATGAGTCGCAGCTGCTGCGGCGCGGCGCTTCCAGTGGCGCAGATGTCTGGACTCGGATTGATGTCTGAGCTAGGATCGCTACACATCAAGATTGTCTTAGGCGTAGAATCTATGCGCACATGCTGCGCATTACGAGCGCTCGTCCACGAGCGCTACTCAAGTGCGGCTGCTGCAGCTTGTGTGCGCCGTGACGGCGGCGACGCTTGGGGCACGATAGATTGCAACTCGTGCGCGAACTCTGCGTGTGCTCGGCTAGCGCCGTGACGGCGCAGTGGTCTTGCCAGTGTCAGCACATCAGCTCAATGGTTATGGAGCACTCAAATCACCGGGGCGTTCGTGTCGGGGCTGTCAAAGGCAGACGGGCGAGGGGCCATAGAAGCGCGACGCCTCGTTGCAATAAGGGCCCTGGCCACTAGGCTGCAAACCCTACCCTTGAGCGCTGTGACCACTGACCATTGGCCCGCACGCCGGCCTGGCTGCCAAACAGAAGGCACAGCTGCCACGGACACATCGCACAAGAAAGCGCGCGCCCTGAGCCCAGCAAAGCAGAGATCTCGACGGCTTTCCGACATCTGCTTTCCGACGGCGTTCTCACTCGTGCTGGCATTCTGCAGCTTTCCGACAAGGCTTTCCGCGGCTTTCTTTCCAACAGCTTCCCAACGTTTCTGACAGCTTTCCGACACTTCGCACGGCTTTCCAACGCGCGGACCCTCGCGGGCCCTCGGTTTGCCTGGTTTTGAAGCGTTAGGGTCCCGACAAGTTTCCGACGCCGGACCTTGACGCGCACCGA